AATCCTAATGATGTCTTAAAACTTAAGCTAATTCTTTTTTTAATATTGGGCATCTTTGGTTTATGGGTTTGATCTGTTTGCTTATACTGCAACCTGCAAGAATGACTCTGTTTAACTAAATACCGTTATATTGTGTTATAAAGCCTTGTGCAAATCTTTGCCTTCTGGAACCACCTTGCAATAAGAATTGGCTTCCTTCCTTGTTCACTGATGTACTGGAGTTATGCTGCTGTGTAGTGGCAAATTAACTGTTGTGCTTTCTTCCATTTCACTTCATAAAGCTGAGCATTTTCAAAGAAAGGCTAAGGGCAAAGACAAGAAAAGATAAGTGAACACACTGCACCAACACACTGACAGGACAACAGAGTCCTTCTGTACAGAGTCTTTGTTTTTTTTCCTTTTTTTAATTCAATGAAGCAGACGTCGCTGTCAGCCCTACAGTGTTTTTGTGAGTAGGACTACCCTTCCAATACAAAATATGTGGGTATAGAACAGTTGCAAGATGATGCAAGCTGAATCAAAAATGCATTTGGTCCCTGCGGAGTGTTCCCTATATTAGAAAAACTATTCTTTTGCTGAAGAAAACAGCCATTCTCCCAGCCTCAAAGTTTCTCTTTAATTAGACATTTCTGCTGTTTTCCAGGGTTTTGAAGCTTTTATTTGCTTTCTGCTTTAAAAGGACTGTGTTATTCCTCCCAGTGTTCACAAACTGATAATAGTCAACTGATCTGGAGCAAAAGTTTACAAAGTGGCTGTTTAAAATAAGCCTGGAAATGGCACATTACTGGGATTCATGCTAGATGTTCAGCAGTTTGTAAAAACAGTCATACCATCATCTCAGTGTCCTGAATATGCCCTCTGCAGTCTGCTTGTAAGGCTCCTATATCCTAGTTCAAGCTGTCTCTTCTTACTCCCATAAAGATACGTAATAATTCTGCAGAAAGTAAGGCCCTAAGGATTCAAATATATTACTTTACCAAAAGTAAGTTAGATGGTTTAGCCCCAGAGGTGATTTCATTTTAGCTAAGAAGTTTCTTGTAGCATGACTGGAAAAGGTATGTGCTATTATTTTTCAGTCTACAAAATTTAACTCTAAAAATTACAGTTACACTGGAAAGGGAACAGAAGTTAATAACTTCTGTAACACAAACCCATATCTACTAAAGGAAAGAAGTCAAGAGATTTTTAAGTTGTGTTCAGTCCAGTTTTCATTTTTCTAGATTGTCACTTTCCCAGCCCACGAATAGACTTGTACAGATATAGATGCAAAGACAGGGAAACCAGAGGCAGCTTCTCTGCACTAACTTTCCAAGAGACTAAACTAGTAGAGCTGGGAAAAGTATGAAAGGAAGAGAATGACTCCTGCTGTTTTGGGACCAGCTGAGCAAATAGGGACTCTTGGCTACTACACTTGGCTATGAGGAGCGGTTACAGAGCCAGGCCATTATTTCTAGGGAAAAGCATTGGCTTCTTTCATTCGCCTTCTGAAACAGCTAATGGCTGGCAGATGCTTGTATCCTATCAACATGGAGACCTCCCTCTGTGTTTTCATTGCTCTGTGTAGAAACGATAGTCAGGATTAGCACAAGTATGTTCTGCAGAACATGCTCCAACTCCCTGGTTCACAGTTGAATGCAACTAGATGAATTGAAGGAATTCAATAGTGGCCTCATTAGTAGAAGGCCCAATACTGTGTATATGGGAGTAAAATCATCACCTTCACTTTGGGCTCAGGAAACAACCACATCCTCTGGGTGGCAATGATTGTTTCTTTCCGTGTCATAGGCTGCAAGGAAGATGGTTCCTCACATTTCTCTTGTCATGAGCATCCTCCTATCGCAGAGACAAAACAGTATGGTAGGAACCCTCTTATTCCCTCTTTTCTATGTCAGTATTTGAAAGTCCAAGAAGCACTACTTAAAAAACAAACAGTGTCTATTTTGTATTCTTATTGTGCTGGAAAAGGATATGCAGTCTGTCGCTAAGGTGGTCTGATTTATTCAGTCCCAAAACCACTGTTTACATAAGGAGTCAACACTGTTTAGTGTAGCCTTCAGTCTCATTGGCATTCATTGGTTCCACTGTGGTCTCAGTTGATCTCAAGATTTCAGATAATAGCTTCATTACCGTAGTGGTTTCACACCAAAAGGCAGCTAAACTCTACCACAACCACTCTCCCACTCTCCCTCCTTGAGGAAGAGGGGAAGAAGATACAATGGAAAAGGGCTGAAGGGTTGAGATAAGGACAGGGAGATCACTCACCAATTACCATCACAGGTAAAACAGACTCACTGTTGGGAGATTAATATAATTTATTGCCTATTACTAAAAATCTAGAGCAGAGAGAAATAAAAGCAAACTAAGAACACCTTCCCTCCATCCATCTTCTTCCACCTCCTCCTCCTGAGTGGCACAGGGGAATGGGGAATGGGGAATGGGCGCTGCAGTCAGTCCCTGAAGCTTCGTCTCCACCACTCCTTCACAGTCACTCTCTGCCCCTGCTCCACGTGGGGTCCCTCCCACGGGATGCCATCCTTCCCAAACTGAGCCTGCAGGGGCTGCCCACAGGCTGCAGCTCTTCAAGAACTGCTTCCACACGGCTCCATACCATGGGTTCCATCCCCCAGGAGCAAATTGCTCCAGCACAGGTCCTCCACGGGCAGCAGCTCCACCCAGACTCCCTGCTCCTGCGTGGGCTCCTCTCCATGGGCTGCAGCTCTGGCCCAAGGCTGGCTCCTGCAGGGGCTCTCCATGGGCCGCAGCCTCCTCCAGGCCACATCCACCTGCTCCACCGGGGGCTCCTCCACCCATGGGGGGGCTGCAGTGTGGAGATCTGCTCCATGTGGGACCCATGGGCTGCAAGGGGACAGCCTGCTCCACTGGGGGCTCCTCCATGGGCAGCAGGGGAACTTGTGCTGCGTGCCTGGAGCACCTCCTGCCCTCCTGCTGCACTCACCTTGGGGGCTGCAGGGCTGCTTCTCTCTCAGCTCTCACCCCTCTCTCCCAGCTGCTGCAGAACAGCAGGATTTTTTTTCCCCTTTCTTAACTCTGCTCCCCCAGAGGCCCAAACTGCATCACTCATGGCTCAGCTCTGGCCAGCGGCAGGTCCCTTTTGGAGCCATCTGGAGCTGGCTCTGAGCTGACAAGGGACAGCTGCTGGGCTCTGCTGACAGAGGCCACCCCTGCAACTGGCACCACTACCACCCCTGCTACCAAAACCTTGCCACATAAACCCAATACAGCCCAATACCATCTGGCCAATAAGCAGTGCTTATGTGAAGCTAACCAAAACCACATTATTTATGTTGACAGATAGATCCACCCCAAAAGGCAAGATTTTGTTTTGTTTTGTTGTTTGTTTGTTTTTTTTTTCTCCTAGCAGACTCTAGTCTAGTGGACATCAACTAGAGAATAGCGTGCATCTTCCTCATGGGGAATTTCTCTCTCCTATGCTGGAGTAAAATCTCTGAAGGTGATTCCAAGCTGTAATTGTCTTTGTGCCACTACAATCACTTTAAAACATTTTTAATCACATTTCATAACTGCATTTGACTTTTTGATTTTATCAGCTATGAGACAGTCATCTTATAAAAAGAAACACCTCCATCAGTGAAGCTTCTAACAAAGCGCAAGTGTTATTTCATGGCATTGTGTACTGTGTACTGAGTAACCTGAGCTGGAAAGGACCTAAAAGGATCATCAAGTCCAACCCCAGGCTCCACACAGCACTACCCAAAAATCAGACCCTATGTCTGAGAGCACTGTCCAAACACTTCTGGAGCTCCAGCAGGCTCAGTGCTGTGACCACTGCCCTGGGGAGCCTGTCTTATTGCCTGACCACCCTCTCAGGGAAGAACCTTTTCCTAACACCCAGCCTGATCCTCCCCTGTCCCAGCTCCATGCCGTTCCCTTGGGTCCTGTCACTGTCCCCAGAAAGCAGAGCTCAGCGCCTGCCCCTCTGCTCCCCTCGTGAGGGAGCTGCAGGCCGCCATGAGGCCTCCCCTCAGCCTGCTCTGCTCTGGGCTGAACGAACCAAGAGACCTCAGCTGCTCCTCATACATCTTCCTCTTTAGACCCTTCACCATCTTCATAGCCCTCCTTTGGATACTCGAGTAGATTTATGTCCCTTTTATACTGTGGAACCGAAAACTGCACCCAGTACTCGAGGTGAGGTTGCCACAACACAGCCTCAGGCAGGACAATCCCTCCCTTGCCCAGCTAGCAATGCCGTGCCTGATGCACCCCAGGGAACAGTTGGCCCTTTTGGCTGCCAGGACACGCTGCTGGCTCAGATTCAACTTGTCATCAGCCAGAACCCCCAGATTGCTTTCTGCAGGGCTGCTCTCCAGCCTCTTGTCCCCCACTCTGTATGCACATCCAGGGCTGCCCCTTCCCTGGCACAGAATCCAACACTTTCTCTGGTTAAACTTTATACAGTTGGTGATTGTCCAGACCTCTAATTTGTCAGGATGTCTCTGCAAGACCTCTCTTCACCCTTGAGGGAGCTAATAGTTCCACTCAATTTAGTGTCATCCACAAACTTAGTAATGTACCTTCAGGTTCTGCATCCGAGTCGTTTATGAAAACATTAAAGAGAACTGGCTCTAACATGGAGCCCCGCAGAACCCACTAGGGGTAATAATAATATAAATGAATAATAAATGCATACTTTCCATGGGAGGTTTGGTTTGGTTTTGTTTTGCTTTTTTTGTTTTGTTATGTTTTGTTTTCTCCATAAATTTATAATGGTTCTACAGGATAACCCCTTTTCCTCCTCTTGGGAGGACAATAAATTATGGCGAGGGTTATTTCTGTTTATCGTTATTCTGACAAGAAGAAAATAGAGCATTAAAAAAAAAAAAAAAAAAAAAAAAAAAACAGTATCATCATGTCATGTGGTAATTACTGTAGTTAAACACATAACCAGACAATGAAAAACCAAGGATTTTCTTTGTATAGGAGAGGACAGACATATATTTTCTTTATTGACTGATAAAAAATTATTTAATTAAAACAAATAAAATATTCTATTAGTCAAGTCTGAGGGCATTGTGAAGGTTACACATAGAAGCACTGGGTGTGTATATCTCTATTGTCAGAGACAAAATGACATTACCTCTGCACTAGCTATGAATTCGAAAGATAAACAGCAGATTTCTGTTGTTCAGAAGAGGGAAGGGTAAAAAAAATATGAAACGAAACAGAGGTTTTGGTTTGTATGGGTAGGATTCACCTCGCCTCACCTTAACTGTCTCAGATTTCTAGTCATAGGTTGCCATTCGGTCTGTCTCTATTGTCACCGAAGAAAGATGGACTTGTTCAGAGGTAGCTTCTTGCCATTTATCTTAGACATCGACCCTCGATTAAATGAGCCAGGTTCTGGAGGCATTTCCTTTCATTGACTGAAAACAGCCTAAAAGGACTAATTTTACATCAAATGCTAATTTGTACCTTGGTTATGTTAAGTGAGATGAATTGCACACTCAGGTTACAAAGCTGTAAGATGACTTTACAGTTTTATCCGATGAAACTTCCATGTCATTTTGTTTGCCAGATATCAAAAATGCAGGCAGAGAGATAATGACTCTTTCTTGATTCAAATCAGGGAAAGATGTGTCCCAAGTCCAGGTGGAAGTAATCTTCATATTTATTTTTGAAGAGGTTTCTAGAGTTCTGTTAGTAATATCATCAGGAAAATAAATAAATAAATAAATAAATAAATATAAATCCATTGACAATCAGTCTGTTTTTCCATTGTCTTAACTTTGCTCCCATTTGGCAAAAATTAGACAAAATGAAGATGAGATACTAAATTGGAAGTCTGGCTTTAAATCGGTAATTTTACTTATTTTCTGGATGTTTTGATTTTTTGAATTTTCTTAGCAACTATTATGTTTGTCAAGCTGGGCATTAAGTCTATTTGTTACTAAAATCTTCATCCTATACTTGGCACCTTTTTGCTAACCAGGCTGAATGTGTTTAAATATATTCACATAAGCAATTATGTAACTAAAGTTAGTTCAGATTCTTAATACTTTTAGTTTTAATCAGATTTTCTATGGAAATTAATCCTAAATTATCAGACTTCATATATGTATGTATATCTTCCTCTCTGTAATGCTTTCTAATACCTTTTGAACCCTCTAATTTCTACCAAATCTGACAGAGGTTCAAGCACATAATAGTCCTACAGGTTTCACCACATCCAGATGAGATAAAGCTCCCATCATTGCCATTATTAAAGGAAATGTAGCAGCAAGAATTCAAACCTTTGTAAAGAGAGTGGAAGTTTGCATAGGATAAAAATTCTCTGAGTACTCTGAGCACAGGAAAATGGTTCATTTACATTCACATCTTTTCAAAACCACAGGATCTAATCAGAAGTGTCATCCATTCTGCTCATGGAACAACTTATTAATTTTCTACATGTTAATATGGGACTATTCCTCTTTTATTGTTGATGATATATGCTGATTTGAAAAAGACAATATTAAAATTGAAATTGAAATGCACAAAGGCAGTATTTTCAATCTTTTTGTTTCAACTAGCCTTGTACCCTATTATATTTAAGCACAAATCTGTGATTCTCCAGGGAAAAGATCATCTGCTGTCAGTTAATGTATATCCAGTACTCCACGTCCAAAGTAAACATTGTGACTCACTGTAGGAGCTTCATGTTCCACGAACAAAATAATTTACTTTAGTAAAGACAAATTAAAGAGTGTGGGAAGTGGCCAACAGACAGCATTTTATTTTGCATAAGCACAAAAATGATCCCAGTTCTATTTATTTTTTAATTCTTTCCATAAAAGTCCAAGATCAGCAGTGTAATCAGAATTTGGAACAGTAACATAATGTCATTTGGAAAGCATCTGCAAAGATCCAGCCTGTCCCCCCCAACTCAAAGCAAGTTCATCATCAAATTAGAGTCATGTTACTCCAGTCCACTTTTGAAAATGTCCAAGAGCATCCCCACATGGTCAATGGCCCTCTGTTGCAAAGCTTAACCACCCTTAAACTGAACATTTTTTCTCTTGTGTTCAGTTGGAATTTCCCCTGCTCTTTCATGTCCTTTCTGTTTGCTGTTTTTGCAATATGCACTCTTAGGAGGACTCCAACACTGTCTTCTCTATCACCTCCCACTAGAAGCAGTAAGGTCTCTGTCCCCTTCTCTTTTCAGAGTCCCAGTCCTGAAGCCTCTCCTTAAATGGCAAGTGCTCCAGCTCTATCATCTTGGGGGTCCGAAAGTCCTTCAGATATATCTTAAAAGTGCTAGGTACAAGGGAAGATCAATTTCCTGGACCTGGTGGCTCCACTCTTTCTGCTGCAGCCCCACACATGGTAATCTTTCATTGCTGCTACCTCTGCTTCCAGAAAACTGGTCCAGTGAAGAATGAGCCATGTTTATCCATCCAGACTACCATACCCTAAGGCATTATAGTACAATAGCATTAAAATCCAAAAGCCCAGTATTAGAACTTTTTTTTTTTAGTCCAGTATAGTCATATGCATATTTCTATAGTGTTTTTTTGTTTGTTTGTTTGCTTGTTTGTTCTGATTTTTAAAAAAGAAATATGACCAACTGCTGTTTGATTTATGCATTCATCCAAGCTAGCCATAATCACCTAGGAGACAAATAAATAAACAGAGCTTTCACACTTGGATGGTCTAGACTAGAAACCACAGACCTCACACCGAAGTGTGAGACAAGAGTCTCATAAATAACTGTAAAATGTGACTCTTTTTTTTTTTTTAATTGTATTTTAATCAGCTTTCAACCAACAGCAAAACTTTCCAACATAAAATAGTTCATGTGAAGTAAAGCTTTGTGTCAACAAAAATGCTGAGTTCCTTTTGGTATAGAACTGGAATTCTATAAGAATACTATAAGAATTAGAATATGGAACTAGAGATGAAAGTTCATGAAATGCTTCCATTTCATACTATTTTGTGTTTTAGGCTTGAACATGGTTTGTGGGCATTGCCTTGAAAGGATGGTTACCTGTAGCTGCAGAGCTGTGTTGAAGCACCTGAGTGCCCATAGTATATCTTTTGTTCTGTTTGCCTTCTCCCCTTCACCTGACCACCCAGGCCCAAAAGCCTCAGGTGTCTTCCAGTGTCCACAGGTTCTACAGATTCTTCTTCAAATGGGCAGTTCAGATGTAGCATCAGAGCCAGCACGTGACCAAAGACAGAGGGTTGCCAAGTCCTGTAATACCATGAGACAGAAGGAGCTCCAGGGCCTAATGCCACCCAAGGCAAGCCAAGCCTAGCACTAGCCCCATCAACCATGGCATCCTCTGAGAAGGTACATAATGCCCTGTCTGTAACCTTTTCAGGATGTACCTTCTCATTTGTGTACAGCACTTGGAGATGCTCACTATGTGTCTCAAGGTTTTGAACATCAGAGGGATTTTGTTCTGTAGCTCACAGTACTGGAAAAGTCAGGAAACCTCTCACTTTTTAGGTCAATCCATTTTTTGTATATCCTGGTAACTCTTCAGACTATAGCCACAAAGTAAAAAGCAGATGACAGGGTTTGTCCCTCTGCTGATGAGAACAGATGACAACTTTTATAAGCACACACAGCAAGGAAAGATAGAGCACTTCACAGAGGTGGTAACCCCAAGGAAGAGCTCCATAATACAAACATAATGAATTTGAAGCTATTTGTATTCAGTGCCACTAGATTAGAATAACTGTAATAAAATAAAGTAATAATATTAGTACTCCATTAAATAATTACATGATTGCAAGTACACTTTTAATTTCCAATGTAGTTTTACCAGTCCCCATGTCAAGAATAATGGTTCCCTCTGGCAAACAGGGCCTCAGAAAACAGAAATTTGAGTCAGAAACCTACAGGAATTCCCTCAAAAATAACTTAACTAGTATTAGAGACTTTAATGTCAGGAGATACAGATTAACAATTTTGCAACATATTTTCTAAGCATTTCATATGGATTTATATTTACAACAAGGTTTCTAATGAAAAAATAGCAACATTGTATACAAATTCACCTGTCATTTAAGTTCAAAAACTGATTGCAATAGCAGGATTTTTTTCTTAATAAGATGGTCTAATACAATCTAATTTCTTGTGTATAAGGTGAGGGCTAGAAAAGGGAAAAGGTGTTTTGCTAACTACTCCCCTAAAATGCAATGGCCAACACTGACATCAGTTAGACAAGACCTGTAAGTGAACATCACGAGTGAAAGAAAGATTTCAAACAGATCTCACATCTATGGTGCCAAGTTTTATTTTCACAGCTTGTCAGAGACATATGATTGGTGCAGGAGCTAAATCTGCTGGGTTTACGATACAAGAGTTTCTCTCCCCTTCCTTTCACAAGGGGAGTTTTCTACTCTTGAACCAATTTTGGCCCTGACTACCTGAACTCCACAGAAGGACCAGATCATAACACTGAAGCTCCTAATTGCATGTTCTGTCATGCACTTTATGTATTTAAATTTACAGCATACGAATGGGGTGGAGATAGGAGGTGGACAGATCAAAGTGCAAGACAGGCTGGAGGAAACCTGGTGATGATCATTGAAGGAGATAAAGAAAACAACAGTAGACAAGGATTACCAAAGTGAAGGGTCAAATTGCAGCTACTTCAGTGTTATGCTTTGCTAAAGGAGGGCTGGCTGAAGGAGGACACATCTGAAGCAAATATCTTCTGGCTTGCTGTACTTGGACTGGAAACACTCAGGTGTGATGGTCCAGACAAAGAGGGTAACCAGGCACTGAGAAGCAGAGTAGTTTTTTGCACCATATGAGTAAGGCACACACTTTCTGACTGTCCCTGAAAATACTTACCACAGCAAATGCTGAATATTTAACAGTCCATCTGAGAAAAGACAGAAATATTTAATTTTATCCTGTTGTTTAGTTCCTAGTACATGAAGAACCACTGTCATGTTGTATTGGTCTTGTTGAATGCAGGAATCAATATTTCAGTCTGAATATCCAGGTAACTTTCTAACTTATCCAAACAACTGCCAATCCTGAGGACATACCTACAACTCAGAACTAGATCTCTAAAATTACTTTGCACATAAGAGCATTTATTTCTTCGCCAATATTACCTAGTAAGGAAGGAGGATTGAATAAGGACAGCCAAGAAGAAAGGCTCACAGATCATGCAAATCCTTTCTGTCCCAGTAGAATCAGACAAATCTTTTTGGCTTACAGCAGTACACTGTGTTTCTGCATAGAGCTAAAAGTGGATGTGATGCTACAGCTTGCTCTAGGGTGGATTTGGCCCAAAGTTTTTGTGCTGAGCTTGCACAGAGCCTCTGGGGTTTGACTGGGCTGGAGGCTGTGGGCATGCTTGCAGTTTTTGCCAGATCAGGTGAATGTACTCAAAGCCTGGGAAGAGAAATACTTCCCACTCAGATTACACCTGTCTGTAATATATGGCTTAGTCACACTGCCCATTAATCAGATATCAAATCCATGATGTCTGTCAAAGTCAAAACCTGTGTTCCTGTATTTTGGTATCATACCAAAAGTTATCTGAACTTCTTCAGGTTTCAAGACAATTCCTCTTTGTCTTTCACACCTTTGAAACTTCAAAGTCATGTCTTTCAGAGATATCCCTAGAGGTTTCATGAGTAACCTGAGACACCCTCATACAGTGCTAGAATAAAACTTATCCTCTTCAACACATTTGAGATTTTCCTTTACATTTCATTACAGTTGGAATTATTCAGGAAAAGAACTGAATTAGAGACATTTTAGCAGAAGAGTTAAACAGTGTTATGGTATGTTTCCTACCACAAACTGCCAAGCTTCTTATTAGTTCGGCCTAGAGTTTTAGGGTCACTAAAACTTAAAAGGGGATTTATTTGGCTTATAATGGGTATAGGAGATACAAATCTACATTTTAGGAGTAGGCAGCTTTTGTTTTCCTGACCTGCATTTACACCTTCCTGAAAAAAAAAAAAATATATATATATAATATAAATATGTTGTTCTCAAACTCAGAATAATATTTGTGGCTCCTCTTCATCCTGTCATTTGTAAGAGCTAACAAGATGACTGCATCCACTGTACAGGCTGGGAAGCTGAGGCAAAGCATTGCCCAACACAAGACAGCAGAGGAGTGCTTGGCACCAGAGGCAGCTCTGCTCTGCTCACTGCCCTCATCCCTGCTTTGCTCAGTTATGTGATGCTGCAAAACACTTGCTCCTTTGGCTAAAACAACATACAAACCATGCCCCAGCAATCCAGAGACCATGACTACATCATCTTGGATTTCAATAAAAAAACTTTTGTGGTTCTCAGTTTTTATTTTATTTTAATTATTGTTCTAAATTTCAAAACTTTAAAATACACTAAAAATAACAGAGAACAGATGTCACTCAGTCACCTGATTCTGGGAGAATGAAGCACCAAAAACTCCAGTGCTTTAAGTTTGTGCAAAGCTGAGATAAACATCACATAACAATGACAACATTAACCTCTGACATCAGTGGGCAAGAAATTAATTTGATTATGTCCAAGCTGTCCAAAATTTAGATGTTACATTTTGTTACATTTAAGACCTCTAAAATGAGGCTGTAAGTCCTCAGGAGAGGGTATTTTAAAAAGCATTTTTCCCTACCACCATCATTGGTACAGTGAAGCTTTGCAACATTTTCCTATAGCTTACAAATCACTGTGCATGGGGAATTTCAGTATCTGGCATCTGTTAGGAGCATGTTACATACAGTAACAAAGCTGATCCCTGGATAGCTCATTTAGTTAATAAATAAAGACCAAGACTTTACTAAGTTCCTCCTGCTGTAGCTCTGAAATGGCAACCTCACTACCAATTATCTCAGCAATTCTTTTAATTCTTAACCCAGAAGCCAGCATGTAGACATTAAAATTTCTGCCCAGCTGGCTCTGTAATAGTTCAACCATGCTACAGAGTGTGCTTTCTCTGTTGAGCCAGGTTGTCTCTGAACATTGTGGTTATAGTCAGAGAATAATCTAGTTAATAATAAGTTAAGTTATTCAGAAGACATCCTTACGAATCACATCATCTAGCATTACAAAAAAAAAAAAAAAAAAAAAAAAAAAAAAGCATGTTTGAAGATGCATTAGTTCTTGAAATGCTGGAAAATGTGTAACTCTGGCATACCTCATCCCAGACGTGCAGAAATGCAAACTATTAAAGTCTGATTATTAAAGAGGAAAGTATACTGACCTGCTTTGGAAGGAATCCCATTTGTCTGAATCGCTGCACTTCCCCTTTAGCCACATCAGCCCACTGCTGAGCAATATTCCCTGGAAAATCAATTATCCAGTCCTTAAAGGTTGTGTGCACCCCTGATAGGAGAAATGGGTCTAAAAAATAGGGGGAAATCTTTCCCAGAACTGACTTGGATCCAGACACAAAATTCTATGCATATTCAATTTTAAAATTACTATTGTGCAGCTACTTTTTAGCTGCATTTCTGCAGAGCTACCAGTGAGCCACAAATGTTTTGCTATGTAAGATCCATCCATACGCTATTAAAAAAAATCAAGAAAGTGCATTGGGAAAGCTGGTTTAGGGTGTGAGGAGACAGATGCCAGAGTATGAATTGTTGCAACTTTACTGCTTAAGAACTTGGAGATGATCAGATGATCACTGTTAGGCAGTCATTTATATCTTCCTAGCATGTTGCAATTGTAAAATAAAATGAGTTACTTTATTTCAGGGAAGTTAAGTAATTCGGTTCCTCAGCAGTAAGCCATAAGGCTGCATTAACTCATTTTCTTGCAGTCAAATGTATGTGCTTTAAAACTGCAGCTCTCTAAAAGTTGTAACAATATCAAACCTATCTCAGTGGAAAAAAAAAAAAAAGAAAAAAGAAAAAAGGAAAAAAAAGCACATAAAACATGTAGAAAGAAAACTTTCTTTTCTTTCTTCTCAAGCTATGCTATCAGCAATAGACAGTAAAATAAAATACATTTGGCAATTAAGAACAACCCCCCCGCCAAAAAAAAAAAAAAAAAAAAAAAAAAAAAAAAAAACAACCTCACACCACCACCAAAAAAAAAACATTAGACTGAATAAAAACAAAAGCAAAATTTGTCCAAGGAACAAACAGCCAGGAAAGAAGGCAATTATTTTCCTTCAGTAGAAATTTGTGCATGATGGAAAATTATTATGTTCCCAAAGACCTAACTTTAAAATATATATATTTTTTTCTGTCTTTCCTCCTTGCAGAAACAGAAGACCAACACTCCTGTCACAAATGCTGTGGTGAGATTTCCTGTGGAGGTGGGTGGAGAGGGGGTAAGGTAAACACTGAAAGCATGAAGTGCTGTCCCATAGCACACAGCTGGACATTGCAAACTAAGGAAGGCTGACAAGCATCAGATCAGAGAAATTGTATCCCAGAGATTTACACAAGGGACAACACAAAGCCTTAGGAGGAGTCCTTTTGACATAATGTTTTGCATGGAGGTGGAGGAACTAAGTAATGGAGCAAAGGACATAATTCATTTGGGCTATGTTAGTGCTCTCAGCAGAAGGCTGGAAAAGCAGCTACATGCTGAGAGGAAGGAATAAGTGCCATGGTAAGAAAGTTTCCCTTGAACTTACTTTTGTTTTTTAGCCCTTAAGCTGAGAGGCACTCATGGTGGGTATGATGAGTTTTCCGAGCAAAATCCTGCTTTCAAGGCTGCCTGGTAATACATAAAACAGTTGCAGTTACCAAAATGACTGTCTGCTAATGAAGTGCATTTCAGTTCTCCCTGTAACATGTGAAGAAGCACTAAGAAGCATGGCACAGCCTGTAATAGCCTCAGTGATAGTCACAATGTCTCAGATGGTTCTTTTCTCGGAAAGTTCATAACCTAGACGGAGCTTTGCAGAAGGAGACCAGCATGGCATGGTGGACCAGGCTGGAGAAAGAGACAGGGACCCATTGCTTTTACAACCCTGTGTATCATCCACAGATATTTTGAATTCTGAGATGCAGTGGATGAAGAAGAACAGAGTTTTGACGATGGAGGATCATTTTTGGCAAGCTGTAAAATCCATCAGGATTAAGAAGGTCTGTGAGGACACCATCGGGATCTGTAACAATGTCTGTAACAATGTTGAGAGGCAGCCAAGCACTCCATGAGACAAGAGTCAGATGCCTGGTGAATAATGCACCGTTGATAACAACAATATTCATAGAGTCTGATACAGGAACCGTCCTTTGCGATCTGCTTGGGAAAAGCACACTCAACACTTGGCATAATTCAAGCCCTCAGAGATTCTACTGCTCTGGTTTGTGTGTGTCCTCTGGCTGCCCCTGGCGTGACGCACAGCAAGTCTGACAGAGAAACAGACAAATTCTGATGACTTTGAGGATAAATACCCTATGCCTCGTGTGGACACGGCAAGAGTTCCCAAACAATGCAACCCCACTCAGACGGAGCTAATTTAAGAATTTATTGGTCATTCACTGCTCTGTCTGGAATCATTTAGTAAGGGAAAAAAAAAAATAAAAAGGACATCAGCTTAAAACACAGCACAACAGCACACAGTGGTTTCATTTGTTTGTGTGTTTGTCTTTTTCTTGTTTAAATTTTCTATTTCTTCCCTATTTTTAGCTTGATGTGCATCTAGTTTTATCTGAGTGATGTCCAAATCACTTTTAATGAAACGTGCTAAGTACGGGTCACAAGCCAGGTTTTAGAACTGTCTGTAATCACGATTCCAACTGATTAAATGTATACTGAGGGGCAGCCAGTATGAAAATGTTCTTAATATTCTCAGTTTAAATTGAATTAAGAGTGCATAGACCTTGCTTTATCAGAACAGCTACTAATTTCTCCAGAGAAAACCCATATAAATTATTTTTGTAATGCTGAAGTTCTTTCTGGGTGAGCTATAAGTCAGTAAGTGAAAACAGTTGGACTGAAACACAAGAAGATATCTATAGGATTTTGGAGAACTCTGCTCTTTGTGCCTCTGAGCTCCCAGCTTCTAACACAGACGTGTCTTGTCAATCACACTTACTGCATTGGATGCAAAATTTTATGAGGTACAGTCAGTTTTGCACAAGCAAATTTTAGGCTTAAATTCCTGAAATTTTCACAAATGTCAGAACAAGCAACCAGCAGTTTTAAGAGTTAGCTTAACAGACACTCTGACCACTACTGTTAAAATCCAGCTGTTTTATTCTAATTATCTTTAGGAGACAGAAAAAGTGTTCTGCAGCCATCCATTCTGTTCAGACCAGCAGCAGTGAAATCCCATCTCCCTTCAAACATCCTTTTTCATCTTGTTTACAAAGTCTGCCAAGTTCCCAAAGAATTAAGGTCTTACTCGGCTCTGCTCTGATTGCAAGCAGATAGGGATGAACATTAACAGCCAGAAGCCCGTATCTGTTTGCATCAAATGTTTTTGTGTGGGCACAGAATATCAAAAGGCTCCTCCACTTGTCCATGCACTCACTCTGCCTGTGTTGCAAGGACTGAGAAGGGGAATTTTTTTAACTGTGACAGTCTCTGTAGTCACTTACACCACTGTGATGCTGGAACAACTTCTTTTGGCACTGAGGAATCTGAACCCGTGCATATGGGCTGGAGTGTTTCAGCCTCACACAGGTTTCCACATAGCCCCATCCATGGCAATCTGCTAAACAACCAGGGGAAGTAAAAAGATTTTCTGCTTTGGGCTATATAGGTGAAAATGGCATGTCACTAGGATTTTGACTTTCTGAGGTGAAATTGTCAAGTAACCATCAACCGCCTGGAGCCATGGGAGAGTGAGTTACAGTAACAGATTGCTCTCCATAATAATAAACTCCTTTTAAAAAATATCTTACCAGACACCATGACAGATCACTTGGGGACTTCTTATCAGTGAAATCGTCCTCCACACACAGCAGCCTGACAGAAACCGAAAAATAGAGTTTGGTCAGTTCATCCAACTTGTTCTGCCCTTTTGGACTGTATTTATTGAAAGGGAACAGTGTTTCTGCCAAAGGTAATATTAGCATAAGTTAACAGTGCATTCCTGCAATTAAATCTCCCTGAGAAACACTGGAAAGAAACATCCTTCTTCAGTGGTTTTAACCCAAAAGCACAGCCATCTGAAAGCAAATCCGACTGGAAAAAAAAGGTGACAAACCATTTGGTTTCCATTCTGCAAACACTGAGAAGAGCATTAATATAATTACAAAATCAGTACAGCTCAAGGGAATGGAAATGAACACATTTTAAATACTTACCAAGAATGTATTTAAAAATGATTAAGTTAATAGACCTGCACAGAGGGTTTTGTATCTGCTAAGGGCAAGGGCAGGCTGCATGTGGATCCTCAGGAGGAGGCCAAGGCTCAGCCACGGATGGCCAACCTACACCAGCTTTGCCATTGTGAGAGTATATTTTACTCCGAGAGAAGGGAGTTCAGGCCCCATCTCCCAGCCAAAAAGGTTGTTTTCACTTGCATCAAAATCAAATTATAAAAGAAAGTCCCAGCCAAAACCACAAAACTCTCCTGGTTTTATGTTACAACAGGATGAAGCCACCAGTCAACTTTACATGGTTTCCACACACAGGAAAAAAAAAAAAAAAAAAAAAAAAAAAAAAAGTAAATTATCCACAGGTTTGGCAATAAGAAGAAGAACATATCCCCAGTTCAGGACTAAAAGTGAATGAAGGCTGTGTTTTTTATGGGTTTCCTCACAAAGCTTTTGCACAGCTGTATCTGTTTTATAAATAGAACTAGCCAAATTAGTTGTAGAGTAATATCCATTACAAAAGTGGCCCCTCAGTATTTTTCCACAAATTCATCCTAATTTCTTTCATAAATATGAACTCCTTGTTTAAAAGATTTTTGCCAATATCTTGTTTGAGCAGTTGTACAGTAAAAAACAGGACTCTTTCCAAACGGACAATGTGATTATTCATTATTTTTATGTGTCCGTAACTACCAAAATCATAAAGTATTATCTCTACTTGGTGAGTGGTAACTGAAATACCAGAAGCTAAAGAATACTGAGCTATGAAGTTTTCTGGGGTGACTTTTTGGATGAACTATCCATGCAAAAGTCCACAAATCTTTCCAGAATAGTAAATCTTTCCAAATATACAGAACAGCTTTCTCAGTATTCATAAATAACAAATTTAAGCCAATCTTGGCATTGTTATTTGGAAAATACTAAATCACTCTTTCTACTGTCAAATTAATCCTATATGCAAGTGTGTTTATCCCTTAAGTCTTAAAAAATATTGCACTATATCCTCTGATAAGATATTATAAACAATTACATGTCTTTCAAAGTATTTGTTATGCTCCTTAAAAGTGGAATTATGACTAGAGAAAATGAGAGAACAGTAGGACAGATCTTTTTAGCCAAAAATAGCAAGAATAACAAAATAGCAAGACATTCAGCAAGCTAACCTAGAAACCAAGCAACTACATTGCATTCAAGTTGAATAATGCAACCATCCACTACAAAATACTCAGGTCTGAGGTGAGGTTTTCAGTGACACCTTAGACTTATGCTCACACTTTGCTCCCCTTGAGCGACAAGCATGGTGGAAAATTTGTCTCCTAGTCAGAAGGAACCAGCAAAAAGCCAGATGGAGGCCTCCAGATCTCACACAGATTGCCCCCGTAGGGATCTTCCTGCTCGTTTCATGTGGGATATCAGGCTTTTAGATCCCTTGATCCCAGGCCATCTGAGATTTGCATCAGAAACAGCCTTTACTAAGAATTTACAGCATTTATTAACCTGAGTGACAGAAGACCTTCTTAGATCTGGTACAACCCAGCCGTATGTCCAGTACTTTTCCTTCTTTACAGTGAAATAACTGTAAATTAGGTTTCATGTGCAAAGACCAAAGGGGATGCCCATGCAAAGCAGCTGAGGGTAGATTTGCCAAATGAGCCCAGAGTGTCATGGTCACTCATGAGCAGAAAGGTGTGGGGGGGAAAGGCAGTCCCTTCTGCTTACTGTAATAAAACGGCTTGCAGATCCATGATTTGATTTGCTCTCCATATAACCACAGCTATTTAATAATCCATGTTGCCACTCTGCAAATTCAACAGATGAAGAGTGGTGGAGCATTCACAGGCCTCTTTGAACAGGGTTGATTAAATGCTTGAGGAATTAATAATGACTGAGAGAACTGGCTGAGAGAACTACTATAATCTTCCAGGGTAGCAATAGCTGTGGAAATGATATTTGAGTGTACATGCTCCACATAAAACTGATAGGAAAGTGAACATACTGTTCCTGTATGTGTTTACCAAAAGTTTCTGAGCCCTAAGCTCCTACACAAAATTTGGATAACCTCAAAGGTCAGTGCAACGGGTCTGTGATATCACCAGAAAGAGGAACTTTTCTTTCTTGTCTGGGTCACGTTCTATCAGTATTGTGTCCTGCAGAAGTCAGCTCTCACAATCACCACGAAAAAGCTGGCTTCTGACAGGAATAGCTCCCCATCAGTGAAGCTCTGCAAGGACTCTCATGGTATGATGAAGGATCACCAACCCAACAAGGTATGTGCAGACAAGGTTGTACATGAGGTGAGTTACCCAGAGGGCAGGTACACCTGTTGGAGCAGCAGGCAAAGGCCATGGGTGAGTCCTCCATGCAGTAACCAGGAAAGGGAAGGGACCAAAAAGAAAATGGAAAATCAGTGTGAGGCAATGGTTTAGGTGCACACAAAAACTAGGGTGAAAGGAAGAAGCCGTGGTCACCATGAGTCCAAGTCCCTGAGCCTAAAGGAAGAAAAGGATGATCCCAACTTCAGACAGCAGAGCAGACCATGAAAATAATTTGATTTAATTAATCATAAAATTAATTAGAGCAATATTTTAGTTTAGTTTCCATGCAAATAACCAACACCTTGCCAAGACAACCAAGAGGCAAACTTGGTTTGCCCACAGCACTGCTCAGATTTCACAGGTAATATGGGAAGAGTGAAGAGAGGCACCTTCCAGCACACCTCATGGCTCCTCCCCTGTTTTTACAACATGTCATGGCACGGTATTGAGTGAGTTAAAAGGATCAGACTGTTTCCCCAGGATGAGAGATGTCTGTACACCAAATGCACCAAGAGAACCAGGTATTAGGGGAGGGCCTGGTGAGAGACCACCAGCTCCAGTCAGACCCTGCCTGGTTGAAAAAGGACACCCACCTGTAGTTAGCACTACCCACACGTGTGTTGTTAAGTGCACACAAAGGGCACAGCACAGAACAGTTGTTTGTAATGGGCTATGACTAATTATTTTCATTTGCCAGCACATTTGGGGCCATATTTCTTAAACGGTAAGTTCTGGAATGGTAACGAGACCCAAGGGTATTTACCACACCACTTATCTGTTATTAGAGCACGCTACTAATGTGTCTGTGGGAAGACGAACATTAACTGAAGGGCTGGGAAAAAAAAAGGTCATTCAAATGCCAAGAAAAATTAAATTAATTGCATAAAGCATAAAACAGTGCTGAATCAATCAAGCACCAGAATGCTAATAGAGACAGGATAGGCAGGTCAGCTGCAGTGGGTACCCGCCCTTCAAGCAAAATCTGGACCTACGGAGCAGAATTAAGCTCCTGCTCCCTGAGGTCCTCACAGTCTGTGTCCTCTCACTCACACCACATAATGGTATGGCCAGACACACTGTGCTGCCTTCAGCTGACATGGTTTAAGAGATAACAGCCCCCAAGTGCCCCAACCACTTGCCCTCACTTCTTCCTCCCACTACGGCTGATGCCAGTCTCTACCTCTCCAGAGCTACCAGCAAAACCATGCTTCTGTTCAGGTTTAGCTACAACTTTTTAGACAGTTTTGCTTGTTTTATTCTTTGAAGAGGATTTTTTGGCAGACTGAGGCTAGGAAAAGTTACACCAGCAGGTCCTAGGAGGAGGTGAGGAAAAGCAGTCACTGGGGTGCTAGGCTCTTTCACGCCAGGTCAGTTACAATCAGTTCAGAGCATGGTATTGCACACAAAATCAGGAGAAACTCCTCAGAGAGCTTCCTTGCAGCAAGACTGACCTTGCAGCATCACCAAAGGAAGGCAATATGAGCATCTTGTTCTTAAGCTTTGGGCCTAATTTTGTCTAACCAGGGACTGGGAGTGTTTCACCATCCCTGTATTTGACAGCCCAGAACGCCAATGCTCTTCTGTTTCCATTTCTGCCACCAAAAGGAAGGCCCAAAGATTTTGTTTACATGAGTTCACATACCAGTGATAAGATATCTGCCTGGGACATTGAGATGAAGAGGAGGGTTGAATATACGATGTTGAATACATAATGTTGAATACTGTTTAGCCATGGGTTGTACATGTAGCATGGAGAGTGGGAGGTGCAGAAGGGGCTCTCCTCTCCAGTCACAAATTTCCTTCACTGATTGAAATTACCAATAAAAGGCTCCAGCTGGGAAGAGCCATGCCAAAGTGGGAACAGCGTGACAGTGCTGTCAAAGCTACTGCTGTTATACAAGACAGAGCAGTCCTTGAGCTACAGCTGAACAGCATTCAGGCACTCTTGTATTTCATTTCACTGCAGCACATGAAAAATAAATCCAGAAGCAGAACTAGCTAACAGCAGAGTATGTACAACATCTGAAATGGCTGTTTGAGAAGTACCATGCCAGTCCCATGGGAGAGGGAACTGTTTCTCTGCTAGCCTGCTAGGAGGAAAATTCCCACACAGAAATCAAGACAAACACTCTGGCAGAACCCAAGGAGAACCCAAACCTCCCTTTTCCTGCTGCAATGCACCACCCAGAAGCACTGCTGTTTTTCAGCAGCAGGAACCTCAGCACAGCACACATTTCCACAGTTACAGATCATACAACCCACAGAGGATCCTGCAAAGTCTTTTTTTACAAGGTGGAAGTGAAAAACATGCTGTTACAGCTATCTTGCACTGCATGCTATTTGATTTGAAGAACGGAACCTTCAGTGACTAAAGCATTACTACTCTTAAT